AATCACCTGTTTACATAGTAAAAAGCTATGGGAGGGGTCTGATGATGCAACACTAAATAGGTTAGGACATAAGTGAAGAGTAACTTTATGTTTAAGCTAGTTTATAAAGGCCAATTCTGTTATATTAAAGCCCATGTGTTTGCTGCATATAAAATTTTCTGTAGTTACAACAATATTGAGTAAATTTATTGGTATGTCAAATTTAGTTCCGAGTTTTACTGAAATGTGAATTCTCACCTTTACAAATACTGAGAAAATTTAAGGAATCTAAAATGAGGCTTAAATATTATTGAGCACTGTTTTGCCACAGTTAATTGTATCCAGATTCTAGGAAAAATAAATGACACTGGCAGTTGAAAAAATGCCAGTTCTACACAAGTTCTTCCAGAAAATGAAACACAGGGAATACTTCCCCACTAATTCTATCAGGCCAGCATTATCCTAATATCCTATTATACTAACAATCAGAAAAAGTTATTACGAGAAAATATATCCCTCATGTAGTTTATCCCAGGTAAGCAAGGCCAGTTTAACTTTCAAAAATAAATTAGGTTCCACATAAAAGTGAAATAACACAGTATTTGTCTTTCTCTGTCAGACTTATTTCACTTAGCATACTACCCTTTAGGTCCATCCATGTTGTCAGAAATGGCAAGATTTTATTCTTCTGTATGGCTGAGTAATATTTCATTGTACATATGCACCATCATAAAAATAGTCAATAGTATTGTCATAACTATGAGGGGGGACAAAAAAAAACCCTGGCATTTATTTATAAAAAAAGTGTTTATTTTTACATGTTTAAACTTCAGTCACCTTCAAAGTACTCTCCATTTAATGCAATAAACCTATTGAGCTGTTTTTTTCCACTGCTCAAAACAGTTTTTGAACTCGACGATTTTGATGCTTTTTAGTGGTTCTGCCATTTTCTGTTTCATCTCTTCCACATTGTCGAAATGTTTCCCTTTGAGGACTGTTTCATCTGGGGAAACAAAAAAAAAGTCACTCAGGTGAATAGGGAGGGTGGGGCACGGGGGTCATGCTGTTTTTGGTCAAAAACTGCGGAACACTCAGAGTGGTGTGGGCAGGTGTGCTTGTAAATCACGCATCATGAAATGGGCAAACACATTGAAAGAGTCTTCAAAAAAAATTCACTAAAGCCAAATGTAGCCTCTCACAACACCAGCTGATACACTGATACAGATGGATTCCTAGAACACTCACCAAGCAGGGTAGCCTATACTACAAGGGGCCTGCCCGCCAGAAGATAATTACAGTTTTTTGGGGGGTCCCCCCTCATAAATGTCTAAATACTATGACATATACCTGAAACTAATATACTATTGTATATCAACTATTACAAAAATTAAATTAAAAAGTGTAATTTACAATATTAAACAAATTTTAAAAGAAAAATGTATGATCAGCTCAATAGATGTAAAAAAGCATTTGACTAAATTCGACATCCATTCCTAACAAAAACTCTTAGCAAACTAGGAATCTAAGATACTTCTCCACCTGTTAAAGAGCACCTACAAAAACCCTACAGTTATCATTATATTTAATGACAAAAGGCTGAATACTTTCCCCATAAAATTAGCAACAAGACAGAAAAATGTCCACTTTCATCACTAGTATTCAACACTGTACTGGAGCGCCTAGTCAGTGTAATAAGGTAAAATAAGAAACAAAAGCTGTCCAGGTTGTAAAGGAAGAAGTAAAACTATTCACAGATAATATAATCAAATACGTATATAGGAAATCTATGGAATCTATTAAAAAGTTACTAGAACTAATATAGGTATTCCTGGGATATATTGTAGGTTTATTCCAGACCACCACAATAAAGTGAGTATAACAATAAAGCAAGTCAAAAACTTTTTGTTGGTGGAGGGTTTTGCCTTCATTTTGTAAAAAATGCAACATCTCTGAAACTCAGTAAAGGGAAATGCAATAAAACAAGGTATGCATATAGTATAAAAAATCATTGTATTTCTATATACTAGCAATAAACAATCAGAGATTGAAATAAAAATAGCATTAGCATTTATTAGCTAATATTAGCATTTATTAGCAAAAGCATTAATAGCAATAGCATTAATACACATGAAATACTTGAGAGAAATATGCCAAAAGATGTAAAAGACCTTTTCTATAAAACATTGCTGACAGAAATCACAGCATATTTAAATAAATGGAGAGGTATAACTCATTCATGAGAAGATTCCATTTACTAAGATATTGAGTCAAAATCCTAGCAGGTTTTTTGTAGACACTAACAAGCTGAATCCAAAATCCATATGAAAGTGTAAAATATCTAGAATAGGTAAAACAACTTTGAAAAAGAAGAACAAAGTTAAAAATAAATTCAAGACTACAGGAATCAAGAAGCTACAAAGGAAGCATCAAGAAAGACAACTAGATCAATGGTACAGAACAGAGTTCAGAAATAGATATATACCTATATGAATAACCAATTTTTGATTCAGGTGCAGAGACAACTGAATTAAGGAAAATCTTTGAAGAAAGAGTATTGGAAGTTAGTTTCATAGATACTAACACACACACATAAAAGGTAAAATGGGGTTCTGTGAACTTAGATCCAAGCCAAGGCCAAGTTTATTTATCTCTGACACATCACTCCTGAAAACAGTACTTCCGGTCCCCCTTTTATTATGTGAGTGGTATTGGTGGGGAAATATTGTGTAATGATGTGCTGGGGATAAGCCATTCTAGTAACCCATTATTCTAGTAATCCCTAGAGCCTTAAAACTTCACCTCAGGCTCGACTTCGACTGTAGTATATTGGTTGTTTAATAAAAAGGATAGAGAGGAAGGCCCTCATTTGCAGCATCTGAGTGAATACTCCCATCCAGTCGATTTCAAGCTACCATCGTAATATGACTGAATGTGGATATTGAAAGAAATGTTCCTAGAATTCCCGCCATAAAAATGAGATATAGGCAAATAATCAAGACCACAGATGATTATAAAATACAGTAAAATCATTAGGAACTACAGTTTCAGCATCTAATACTTTCATTGTTGGGAACCGTCCTGCCTGGTTTCAGGAACTGTAGCCTTGCTGACAGGCGAGAGGGCCCCAAGGCTGGAGCTGAGCAAGGAGGCCTCGGGAAAATAGGCTGCTAAGGGGACAAAACCTGTTCCCCTGGCAGGGGCTGCACCTCACATCATCCTGCTTGGCCCCAGAGGATGGCTGGTTAGTCAATGATGGGTAAGACCCCTTGATGGAAGGGGCAACCTAAAACAGGCACAGCCTCATGGGAGCCATCAAGGGAGGACTTGGGGGACATGAAAAAAGGGCAAAGACCCTCACTCCTCGGCTTTGTTATGGCCAGAGTCCTCATTCTATCTGAAAGAAGTTTCCTTGTCTCTTGGCTGCTCTGCCCAGCTGCCTGGCGGGTCAGTGAAACAGTCTCAAGGCAGGTAGAGCCCTGAACTGGATTGGGCGGTTCCCAGGGACAATTAGTCATGAAAAAGAAATGCACTATGAAACTTACTTTGCTAAGAATGCCCTTGAGTTAATGAGTACTGATGTTGGGGACCACTTTGTGAGGCACTGGGAACTGTAACGCCGCAAAAGAAAACATTGCGTCCACTGAAGCTTGCTCTGCTTCCCACTGCCCTGATAAGGAAAAACCAGGTGTTTTACTTCACAGCAAGGAAATAATTTCTGAGCCCCGAAAACTGCGCCTTAATGAGCAATTGGTGCCAACTTGCCTGCCGGACCTTCATTTAAGACGAACCTCTGATTTCTTTAATTTATTATCTATAGTCTTTTGATGTAGATTGATAGACTTTGTATGCATGCTGTATACCCCTGCACATATTCTTCTCAATAAAAACCACTTCTAAGGAAGGGCTTAGGTCATTCTCCACTAGAGGGAATCGCCAGCCCCTTCTCCTGACAGGGAAATTGTGTCTGGTATGGTTTACTTCCCCATCCATGGCAACCCAGAGTGGCTCTGTGGGACCAGAGCCCCTTCCCCCCACACTTCATTCTTAATGGAATTTATTTAATTGTAAATTTACATAATTTAAATTTTAATAATGGCAGTGTTTAAGAATTGGATAACCAAATTCTTGAAATGTTAACAATCTGCTCCCATTAGAGTGTACAAGCTAGCTTCTGGGGGCACCTTCTTTTTAAGGGAAATAGTGTAACTCCAGGTAACTTCTAACGATGATTCCTACTGAAAGAGAAGGTCCTGGCAATCGTAAAACTCGATGTACATTCTTACTAGTTTTCACAACAAACAGACCAGGAAACAGGCCAGGTGCAATTGAAGAGTATGTACAAGATGTTAAGGGGTGGGTAGAGAGTTTCAATTCTGGTCTGTCTCCAAAGCCAGAGATGACACACCCTTCAAATGTTCTTACGATTTCTGTTTCTATTTGAAAAAGCCTGACTGAAAGATTTTTAGCTCTGCCGAAAGTTTTAAGGGTGTGCGTACAAGGGCTGTGGCGTGGGAAGATAGGCAAAGGAGCATTTTAAGAGTATAAATAATGTTTGCACCCAGAAAGCTGAGAGTCAATACCAAAGCGATCTCAGGGTCTTATCCGTGGCCGACACGGAAACACTTTATTCCTACAACTCACTTTGTGCGCTTCTAACCGCCCCAAGGCCTTGAGATTTGTTTGGGAGGGACGGCTGCCTGGGGACAATACAGCGCCGAGCGCGTGTTGGGAGGTGGTGCACAAGCGCTGAAGACCAGACCATGCACACACCGTGCGCAGGCGCAAGAGCCCAGGGGGACGGGGCGGGGCGGGGCGCGGCGGGGCGGGGCGGGGCGCGGCGGGGCGGGGCGCGGCGCGGCGGGGCGGGGCGCGGCGCGGCGGGGCGGGGCGCGGCGCGGCGGGGCGGGGCGCGGCGCGGCGGGGCGGGGCGGGGCGCGGCGCGGCGGGGCGGGGCGCGGCGCGGCGGGGCGGGGCGGGGCGCGGCGCGGCGGGGCGGGCCCGGCCCTTCAGGCCTCACTTTGGTGGCGGATCCTACACGCGCTTGCTTGCCCTTGGCCCCTCGCAAGCACGTGACCTTCGTGTCAGGCTCCGTCCTTCTCTCAAAGGATTGAAAAGAAATGGGAGTGGGCGGCCGGGCGTGAGTTAGCAGCAACCTCCGTCCGGGCAGTGTTTTCGGCCCTGTCCAGGCTCGCACGCGAGCCCTCGGAGTCATGCTGTGGAGCTGCGCAGCGCGCCGGTACGCGCTCGGAGCCCTCCGCGGCCTGCGGGGCGGCGCGCCCCCGCCAGCGAGGAGGCCAGGACCCGCGCGGGTGAGTTCCGCGGGTGGAGCGGCGGGAGTGGGCGTTGTAACGACATTTTCTGTCAGGATCACACGTGGGGTAGTTAAATACGTTAAACTATTTATCCCTTACCTCAGCAAGCTGATCTCAGATTAAAAATTAACGTCAGCTCGGAAAAGCATGAGTGTTATTAGGGGTAAAGGATATACCCGTCCTAAAATGTAAACCAAGAGTGATTATATAGGAAGATGACTCCCCTTTCAAAGCCGTGCTGTGTATGTGGTCCTTACTTGGACTGCCACTGCTACTGATATTAATAAAGGTTAAGTTATTCCAACAAGGTCACAGAAAACACGGGGTATGGTTGGGTCGGAACCCCTGCAGGATGGTTCATAACCATTACATGACACTATATGAGAAGAGCAGCGCTGTCTCTTCCACAGGTTTAATTTTCTCTGCTTGTCAGATAATCATACCCTCTCTAATCCAGTTTCCTTGGCTTTAAAGGTTGTTATAAGATTTAAAGGAGATAATGCAAATAAATGTTTTAAAACAGTGCCTGGTATTAGTAGTAAATAAATATTGCCTTACATCACGGTTTTGTTTCATTGTTGTATCCAATTAATATTAATTTTGTTTGGAAGAAAGAGATAAAATCGCAAAATTTGTACTATGTACAATGTGCTTATAATGAACTCTTGGGTTGGCCAAAAAGTCCATTATATTTTTCCGTACCATGGCTCTAGGCGTGCTTAGTTGTCTCTAACTTCATTCAAAATAATTTTGTTAAATTGTCTCGTGAAAGCTGTTATATCAGCATGCATTTTTTTAAGGTTTTATTTATTTTTAGAGAGAGAGGGAGAGAAACAATGTGTGAGACATATTGATGTTGCCTCTCACATGCCCCCAGCTAAGGACCTGTTTCACAACCCAGGCGTGTGCCCTGATTGAGAAACAGACCCATGACCTTTTGGTTCCCAGGCCAGCACTCAATCCTCTGAACAACACAAGTTGGGGCTCAGTGTGCATTTTAAAAAACTTATCAAAATTGGTGAATTTTTGTGCAGCCTATTTAATATTGAAGATAGAAAAGATATGCAACATTTTTGGCATATTATGCTTTATTATTTCAAGAAAGGTAAAAACACAACTGAAATGCAAAAAAAGATTTGTGCAGTGTATGGTGAAGGTGTTGTGACTGATCAAACGTGTCAAAAGTGGTTTGCGAAGTTCCTTGGTACTGTTGACATTTTGGCCAAATAATTCTTTGCTGTGGGGCTGTCTTATGCATTGGAGGATGTTTAGCAGCACCCCTGGCTGCTACCCACTAGAAGCCAATAGCAGGAGGAGCTGACATACTCAAAATATGCAAATCAATAAAATTATTGGTGAAAATGAAAAATATTTATTTTATGGAAAAAAACGATATGGACTTTTTGGCCAACCAAATAATAAGGCAACATATAGGAGGGAACGGCTCTGTATGGAACAGGAACTGGAAGCTATTGTAGCTTTCTTTTCAAGAATAATAAAGTGCAAATTGGAAAAGAAATTGTCCTGTACTAATTTCATAACAAAGAAATTCATTTCCTTAATTGTATGTTGGTGCCTTGTAATCTGTGTTGAGAGTATTTAATAGTATTTACAGGCTTTATAAGTTATGTTTCTTTATGTTCAGTAGTTTACTCCTTTTAAATTTTTATTTTTTGATTGTTATATAGAGAGGAAGGGGGAGAGAGAGAGAAACATTGATTTGTTGTTCGCTTATTGATGCAGTCATTGGTTACTTCTTGTTTGTGCCCTGACGGGAGATCAAACCCACAACCTTGGCCTGTCGGGAGAATGCTCTAACCAACTGAGCTACTTGGTCAGGGCTCAGTAACTTACTCTTAAAAGGAGGCACATTTTTTAAAGTCATAACTTTACTTAACAAGTTCCACATGAAAAATATATAACCAAAGATCAAACAAAACTTTTCCTCTACTCAGGGCAACAAAAGGTAAGGTAATGATTTTATCCCTAATAGTTATCCCTAATATACAGTCCATGCTCTGAATTCACAAGTGCCATTACTTCAAGTATCTTTTAGATTTCATCTCCTCAAACTGAAACTTATTTTTATTTCTCGCAACATCTGGGATCCTAAATTCATTATGCCCTAAACTAAAATGAATAGTTTCATTCCTACTCTTTGCCTTCTTGCCTTCTGACACACACAGAAACACTAACAAAACTTCCTCTTTCTTTTCTTTCTATCCACTGCAGTCTTCAAAATCACAATTCTGGAATCATCCAAAAACACTTTCTACTTTCTCCTCCCCCGCTATCACACTCCTTGGTCCCAATATCCCAAATATTTCTTAAATCTCTTCATTAATCTCTAACTAGTTAAGCTTCTAATCCTTACCTCACCTGCACCTTTGCAACAGTCTTCTAACTAGTTTCCCAACTACTGCTTCTCACCTTGCAATTCATCTGTTACACCACAGAGACGTTTATAAAACCTGTTTGTTTACAGAACCTAAGTTCCTGTGCCTGTTGTTTCAAAAGGACAAAACTCACAATGTCAGACTTTGGAGTAAGGAAAGTTTGTTGATCAAGAAAGTACCAACTAAGAAGATTGGTGACCTAATGGTGCCTTAAATCCACCTTGCTCATTGAACTAAATTAAGGATTTTGTCAACCAATCATTGTTGGCACCAGTTCAAGGCCAACAGGAATCCCCAATTGGGATTCAGTAAGAAGTAAACTATTCAGTGCAAAACAGTTCAACTGTTATACAGCACACCTGTGAAGCTCAGCTGTGATGGAGCATGGCTCTGAGGCACCCCTGGGGCCAGGCCCCTCTCCAGCTAGATAGCTGTTCCTGAGCTGGTTTGCTTTACTGTGCTCCAGGGAGACATTTTCAGTGTTTCAACTCAGGCAGGGAAAACAGTCTTCTGTGAAAAGGGAAAATGCTCTCCCAGAGCCAGAGGGGAGCTAATTTATATAGACATAAATCCCTGCCCCTGATCCCTGAATGGTCCATCTTCATGCAAACGAGGACTCCAAATCCTTGAAGTTTGAATGGTCCAAGAGGCACTGTCCTGATTGATCAGAATTGAACCACTCTGATTGGTTGGCAAAGATGTTGATGGTGATTGGATGGGGAAAGGCCTCAGTCCTATTTGAAAATTCCAGGAACTCCTTTGCAGGAGCTGGCTCAGATGGCAGGAATACAGTGCAAGCAGGCAGTTCAGTGCAGTCAGGTAGTTCAGTGCAGACTTCTCCCTGAGGCACAGTTTGCGTGGGAGACCACTGTAAAAATGGTTGCTGGGCTATTTTTAAAAATTTGAGTCCAGTTAGCCACCAGTATCTTTTAAGGATACACAGTTTTTAAGGGCTGGAGGAACAGGTATGCAAAAGTACTGGAGGGGCAAGTTGGGATTTTTTTGTGTGTGGTGGGTTTTTTTGTTTGTTTATTTTTTGAATAGAAACAATCATTTTGTATTTGTGCATAAACGTTTAACCTGATTCCATGAACACATAGAATGGTTTTCTTTTAATTTCTTTATGTCTTTTGTTATTAGTTTGTCTGCCCCTTTCCTTATTGATTTGTAAGTTGTACATGGTACAAAAATCTTTTCCCAGTTTATAGCTTAGCTTTTCACTTTGTTTATGTTGTCTTTTTTTCATTTTTTTTTTTTTACTGTTGTTGAAGTACAGTTGTCTTCATTTTCCCACCACCACCTTCCCCTACCCCACCCACCCCCACCTCCCACCCCCAAACCTTCCTCCCTTTAGCTTTGTCCATGGGTCCTTTATACATGTTCCTTGACAACCCTTCCTCTTCTTTTCCCTCCTCTCCCGTTATTCCTTTTCTTTCCTCCCCTCTTGTTACTGTCGGTTTCCTTTTTCTTTCAATATTACTGGTTATATTTTCCTTGCTTGTTTTGTTGATTAGGTTCCACTTATAGGTGAGATCATATGGTATTTGTCTTTCAAGCCTGGTTTATTTCACTTAGCATAAATGCTCTCCAGTTCCATCCATGCTGTCGCAAAGGGTATTAGCCCTTTCTTTCTCTCTGCTGCATAGTGTTCCATTGTGTAAGTATACCATAGTTTTTTGATCCACTCATTTACTGTTGAGCACTTAGGTTGCTTCTAACAATTTGCTCTTGTAAATTGTGCTGCTATTGTGCTGAACATTGGGGTGCATAGTTTCTTTTGAATTGGTGTTTCAGGATTCTTAGGGTGTAACCCCAACAGTGGAATTGCTAGGTCAAAAGGCAGCTCTGTTTTTAGTTTTTTGAGGAAATTCCAAACTGTTTTCCACAGTGGCTGCACCAGTCTGCATTCTGGTGGGGTAAGTTTTAATCGAAGTACCTTGAATCTTGGCCACTTATGTTACTGAACTCAAGGGGTTCACCACTTGGAGTGCTCTAATCAAGATCAAGACATGGTTGCATATAAAAGATAAAGGATTTCTATTCAAAGCTGTCTCCCCAAAGGTAGGTTTATATATTGCTTGTATACACTATTTAGTCATTATGTGTTAATGTCTTCTTGGCAGTTGGCTATGTTTACCCAGTCGAGTTTCTGTCAAGCTCATCCTGTTTACACCTGGTCTGAAAAGTATCATGCTACATTTTAACATTTAGCAAAAATAGCATTTAGTAAGAACAGCCCAGAACTTGACACTTTTGTCCCATCTAACAATTCCCCCTGAGTATTTTCATTCCTTATTCTTAAGGGAATGGGGACAAGGATCATACTTCTGTAACTGCTTCCTATAGAACATGGATAAAGTATGTCTTTGAGTTAGAGGAGGGAAATTCTCTGGCTGCCTCAATGATGAAAGTCCTGGGGTCCCCTAGGTTTCGGGATTCATAAGAATAAGAGTGCATAAAGAAAGCACTACTCTAACATGAGACTTGTGTCATAAGAGGCAAGACAGAAGCAGGGAGGAAATAAGGGGACCAAGATACTGCTACTCATAAATTCACACTCTGATGGAGATCTAATGAGCAAGATGGATCAGAATGACAGCA